CATTCTGTTTCTCCATCTTCTGTTCTGACAGTAGCTTCTTGTCCTGAGATTCCAGTGCTTGAATACAGGGCATCATTAGAGATGTGCACTTTGGAGTTCTCTAAGAACCAAAATAAACAGCAGGAATCTAAGCAATGGATCCATGTTACCAGTATTTGATTTGATCATTTGATCAATTTGATTAAAGTTGACCACAGAATCATGCTGGAGGACCCACAAATGCCTTGAGAAGTGTTTTCTCTAGGAACATATAGGTTCTCCAGCAAAACTCTATGGTCAACTTCCAGCAGAATTGCACTGGAGGACTTAGGATTCCTAGAGAGAAAATATTAATCAAAACTGCAAATAATCAACTTTGCAAAAGTCCAAAAATGTGGAGGGCCAGCTGTATAAAGACACTAACAAGGGAAGAAAAGCCATTGAGAAAGAAATCATGTCATTTGAAAGTTAAGATGAAAACTTAAAAGGGGGCGGGGGGAGAAGGAAGCCATTAAAAATCTCTACAAAGATATCCCAGCAGAATTCCTTCTGCAGTCTTGTATCTGATCCTTCGTAACCTTCAAAATGACACCACCTTTAATTTAAGCAGCACTTTTCATCCCAAAGGGCTTTAAACTTAATTTATGCAATCCTTGTGGGAGTTCTGTAAATGGTTTGAGGGCATTAAATAACTGGGTGTCGACACCTGAATCACTTTGCCTTTTGTTCAGGAACAGTCAGAACTCAGGAATGAACTTGGCAGGCGTTCTTCATTTTTAGAATTATTTTATTATGCCATTTTCATTAGATGCCAGGAAATTAGATACATACACATTATATACCACAATAGCTGAGTTAGGGGAAGACACTTTTATCAGGAAAGTAGTGGCTGGTATTCATATCTTCAGGTCTGGGAAGTAGCCTGCTACAAATGTCTACTTATTTCTGATTAATTTCTTAATTAATTGAATTAATCTGTAACAAAGTGATAACAATATTAATTTATGATAGCAATGTAATGAGCCAGTGCGGTGTAGTGCTTTGAGTATTGGCCTAGGATTCTGGAAACCAGGGGCTGAATCCCTGCTCAGCCATGGAAACTCAGTGGGTGACCTTGGGCAAGTCACACTCTCTCAGCCTCAGAGGACAGCAAAGGCAAAAATCCTTCTGAACAAATCTTGCTAAGAAAACCCCATGATACATTTGTCATAAGTTGGAAAGGATTTGAAGGCACACAACAACAACAACAACAATAACAACAACTGAATGAGGGAGAAGTCGACTCCTTTTGTATATAACTGGCAGATAAATATCTCATGATCCACATACTGGTTTGTATTATGCCTCATACTTTGTTGTGGATGTTGAGGTGACAACATGGCAAATGAGAGAAAACTATGCTTTGTACCACAGGCTAGTGACTTGTATCTTTTTTTTTATTTGCTTTTGAGGAACAGGAAAATAAACAGCTATTATAAATTGTCACTATCAATGCTAACTCAGGTCTCTTTCACACTACACAGTTGCAGCACTTTTAACACATTTTAACTGCCACGATTCCATCCTGTGGATCCTGGCATTTGAACTTTGGTGAAGTGTTATACTTCTCTGGCAGAGAATTCTTAATAATTCACAGAACTACAAATCCCAAGGTTTGACAGGATAGAGCCATGACAGTTAAAGAAGGATTGAAAGTACTACAGTCATGTACAGTGGGTCCTTGATGTCTACTATGGTTAGGTTCCAGGACTCCCCCCATGGATACCAAAATCTGTAATGCTCAGGCCCCATTATATACAATGGAGTAGTAAAATGGTGTCCCTTATATCAAATGGCAAAATCAAGGTTTGCTTTTTGGAATTAAAAAAATGTATTTTCAAGCCGTGGATGATTGAATCTCTGGATGCAGAGTCTGTGAAAGAGAGCTAACACCCCCTTTTTGGACACTGGATGTATAATGGCAACCAATTCATAATATAAACCAATTACCCAAGTTTTCTTTCTGGTACAGTTAGCAACAAGGGTGCATAAAGGCTCTACAAAGGGTGACCAGATGTCCTAACAGCAAAGGAGGATATTCAAGAAAAATGTAGGGCATGACCAAATAAAAGCTAAAAACACTGATAGAAATGTAAATCCATGCTTCTTAGTCAGGCTGAAAAAGGAGGACACTTTGGAATTCTTCCTGGACAGAAAGTTGAAATGTAGGACATGTTCTGGGAAAGGAGGACATTTGGTCGCTCTAGTATCACAAACCTCAGCATTGCTCCTGTAGGCATGACATGACATCTAGGCAGACACAATTTTTAGACATGCATTTTGCAAGATGTTGTTGCAGGATTGTTTCAACACTCACCTATCACTACTTAACATTTTCAATAAGCTATATGCACATTTTCCCCCTCCAGAGCACTGCACACTAGCCTTTTCCACACTACACAGCTGTATCACTTACATCATACTATAGTTGCCATGGCTCCATCCTATGGAATTCTGGTTATTTGTAGTTTTATAGGTATTTAAAATTCTATGTCAGATTACTCACCAAAATGCAAATCCCAGAACTGCATAGGTTGGACCCTTGACATTTATGGTGGCATCAAAATGCTATAACTGTGAAGTGTGAAGCAAAGCTAAACTGTCATCCTCAGGTCCTTTTCATACTATACAATTGTTATTGTTATTGTTGAGTACCTTCAAGTCATTTCTGACCTATGCGAACCATATCATGGGGTTTTCTTGGCAAGATTTGTTCAGAGGGGTTTGCCGTTGCCTTCCCCTGAGGCTGAGAGTATGTGATTGCCCAAAGTCACCCGCTGGGTTTCATGACTGAGTGGGGAATCGAACCCTGATCTCCCGCGTTTTAGTCTAACACTCAACCGCTAAACCACAATTACTGTGCTATTACTCCACTTTAACTGCCATGGCAACAACCGATGTATTGCTGGTGCTTTTAACCTGGTGGGGCACTACAGATCTCTGGCTGAGATTTCTAAATATCTCTCCTTAAAGTGAAAATCCCAGGATTCCACAGGATATTGCCATAGAGATCATAGTGCAGTGTAGTGTGAAAAGGCCCATGGTGAATATGGTGAAGGAAATGCTTGGTCCAACATGTACCCATCTGTAAAGTGTCTCAATCCTTGCTTCTTGGGTGAAGACTGGGAAAAGGTTCCTATTACCAATATTTTCAGTACTTTGCAAAACTTACTTTATTGGGCTACAATTATCAAGGTACTCAAATAATGCTGTCTGGGAGATTCTGGAAGTTGTCTCGCATTATCTGAGAGAGAATTTTAAATACCTACAAAGCTACAAATCCCAGGATTCCATAGGATGGAGCCATGGCACTTACAGTGGGAACCAAGTGCCTCATTGCGTTGTGTGTAACAGCTTAGTGTGCAACAATTTGAGGAGGAAAAACCATGATTTTCACGGCTTGTTGAAAACCTTGAAAAGCCACTGATGAGGGTTGAAGCAGTCCTATTGATCCTGGGAGTTATAGTCCCAGAAAGTAACTTTGCAAGGTCTGGTATTTTCTATCTCTAGTGTGCCACATTTACTATAAAGTGGGGTAAAATAAATTACCCAATGTATTTAAAACAAATTCAAAAACAAATTAAAAATGACCCAAATTTAAAACAAATAAACCGTGTTTTGCCTTCTATCTTTTCCCGCCTGCTTAGCTGCCTGAATCTCTGCCTGTATTAAGGTGGCTTCCTGAAATCAGGAAAAGTCCTTTTTGTAAGGACTGAGCAAGGAAAATTGCTTTGAAATGTGGGATTTACACATGAAATGCACGAGACCTCAAAAGCCTATTTCAATAAATTGCTTCTTAGCATGGATTTGGGTCATCTCCTCATTGACTTCCCCAGGGAAGACAAACCCAGATTTCACAGAATTAAACACAAAGGGTGAGGCCATTTTAATTTATACTGATATGCTTCTCTTGCATATTATGAAGGAATCATGCTTCTCCCAACTTGTTCCCCCAGTTCTCTGTATTGGCCCAGATATATCGTACTCTGTTCTTGAAACCAAGCCTTTTTGCTATGCAACACTCTTGAGTAAACTGCTGCTTGGAGAAAGCAGTAGCTTTGGGAGGAAAACAGCTGTGGGGGCAGAAAATTGCATCAGGAAACTTGCACCAGCCACAGTCCATACCAGATTGGAGCCTTGCAGCTGATCGTCATTCAAAATAATAATAAAAAAAAGGGGGGGATGTAAACTAAAGTACAATTTTTTAAAAAGCATGATTAATTTAATACATAGCATAGTCCTATATTTGAGAAATGGCTATGACAAAATTGTCAAGCTAGATATGTGAAGAGAAACACATCACACCCCCAGCAGAATTCAATTCATATCATTGTCAGTGGAACAGCTGCACAAAAAATGAGTGTGATGAAATTAAACATGCATTTTATTATTTTCCGCAACAGTATTTAGAATATTTACTGAGGAAGTTTGCTCACCCTTACAATTGATTTTTGGAGGTTTTTAAAAAAAATCTGGTCCGTCTCTCTTGCAAAGTGATTTCATTTATGTGTCTCTTCTTGGCAGTGTCTTTTGTAAAACGCAGCTGTCACCTTCAGTGGATTCTGCGCCTTCTTTCTTCCTTACTTCATTGGCGATCATGAGTAATTGCGATGTTAATGATACGGATGGTGTGATGAGATTAATGGAGCATGTATAGTTCAACCCCTTTAATTTAATTGCTTTAACTATCTCAGAGCTTTTGTGCTTACTTTTTTATCCATTTTCTTAATTGCACCATTTAAATATTCAATACGATTTCAGTCTTTCCAACTGCACTACCTAAAGTCTCATGATGCAAAAGAACAGCAGTATAAGATTAAACAAATCAGGAAGGTCCTAAGATTTGCAATTTAAGCAAGTTAAGAAATAGTAGTAGTTAATAAAACTTTTTTTTAATGATAAGGAATAAGTTCTGAAGATGTTGCTTTAAATATTTATTTTCACATACCACTTTGTTTGAAAGCTATCAGTATAAATATTTGATTTCTTGAAGAAGAATATGCAGCAGATGTAATACAAAATTCTGTTTAATGTAGATTTGCCTCACATATGGAGATTTATAGGTACGATAATTAAAATGTAACCAAGATTATAGAGTTTGAAAGCTCTGCACAATTACATGGTTCTCTGTTGAACTTGAAACTACTTGGTGGTTTGTTTTGGTGCCTAACCAAAACCACTATGCATTTTTCTATCCTCTTTCACTTCCTATGTCATAAATTACTATTGATTTTGCTCTGTAAAAAAAGATGAAGAGATATTATACAATAAAGTGAATTATACTGGCCTGTAGTAGGATACAGCGTCACCATGTTATACACACTAAGTTTAACCTCCCACCAATAAAACAATTCACAGAAGTACTATAAGCAGCAGCCACAATGCATGCAGAGAAAATAATTTGCCTTGCTTGAATGTAACAGTAAAGTATGACTTATTACAAACATTGTGTTTCACCCCCTTTCCTTCCTTCTCTGAGGAAGCCAAAAGTACAAAAGTAACAGATTAGAAAGTTCAGCTTCTGCTTTTTAAGTAGTCACAGTTGAAAGTTATGTCTGAACCTGGGTAGATTTTGGTTATTATGAATTGTGGCTTATGCAAACAAGCCAACTTCCTATTCAAGCTGCCTCATTCTTGCCTACCAGAGCTAAGACAAGCTACTCTTTAGCATTTGGATTTATGGAACACTAAACTGTGGTTAACTGAAACTGGAAGCAAAATGCATGCCAAAATTGCAGAAGGGCAAAATAAATTTACACGTCATTCTATGTACATTCAAGTGCTTATAACAGGGTCAGAATCCATGGCTGGACAATACATTATTAGGACTAACACCAAAATCAGAGCACTGAGCACATTTTAGTAACCTCCAGAAATTTAGCCTGAATAGTAAGCAAAGCAGATGGTGAGAACAAGAATAAAACCTGGCTTGATGATGACTTTGGCTGCATCCCCCCTGCAGAAATAATCCAGTTTGACACAGCTTTAACAGCTATGGCTCAGTGGAATTCTGGGAATTGTAGTTTTGTGAGACATTTAGCCTTCTGAGAGCTCTGGTGTCACAACAAACTACAAATGCCAGGATTCCATAGCACTGAGCCATGGCAGTTACAGTGGTGTCAAACTGGATTATTTCTGCAGTGCAGATGCATCCCCCTTTTTAAATGAAATACTGGGAATTTTGTTTACACAATCTTTCATCTTGAGATATTAGCTTCCGAGGAATGTCAACCATAAGCACAAGATCTGTGCTTATTGATTCACCTTAGAATAGATAAGCTACCTAAATAGTAGCACATTTATTATCTGTAATGGGTGGAGTTCTTGATCCTATAAAACAGAGACCTGCAAATGACTTAGGATAGTCAGCAAAAGGCTGGTGGTGAAACATTTTGGATTCCCTTGTTTGTATAGGCAGCAATTTTTATTTCTTGATAAAAAACACAAAGATAATATTTGAATTTTGATTGAGAAAACAGAAATATCATTAGCAGCGCTTGTGTGTTTACCTATATACAGACAATCACATATGTGTTTGTGATGCTGATAGTAGCAGAAGTATTCTCCAAAATGATATTCTCCTTCTTTGCTACTCAGGAAAAGTTACATGTAAATACAGTATTTAATATGTACCAGTAAGATATTTTATTTTAATATAGCATTAGGAGCATTTAGAAGATGATTATTGGACTAAACAGAATATATGTGTCGGGTCAGCCTACTTTGCTAGTTTTACTATGTTGAGTGATGTTGGATGAAATTAAATATACAAGGTAAAAACTGTGGGCAGAGCCAAAATGGCATAGTGGTTTGAGTATTGGACTATGACTCTGGAGACCAAGGTTCAGTAACCCACTGGGTGACCTTGGGCAAGTCACATGCTCTCAGCCTTAGGGAAAGGCAATGGCAAACCTCCCCTGAACAAATCTTGCCAAGAAACCCCCAGGAAGTCGGAAAGGACTTGAAGGCACACAACAACAAAACTGTGGGCATTGTTAAGAAATCATGATGGATTAATGTGAAAGAGATTGTTTTAAATGGTCTTCAGTGTCAGTGGGATGCTGAGTCTTAGGTTAATGTGCTAGAGCAGAGAATGCGAGTAGGAGGGAATTTAATGAAAAAGAGAGAGGAGGAGGTGACGAGAAAGGAATGTTAGCATTTGGAGGTCAGAGTTGTAGAGAAATTACATGGAGCAATGAGAAAAAGTACATTAAAAATTTCTGCTGTTAGGATATTTTGTTCCTCAAAAACAGATGCTGTCTTCACATATTAGCCTTCATAATTTCCTGCCTGTGATCTCCAGTGTAATGACAGCAGAAAGGCATATGGATGGAGTAGGAGGGGAAGGAGCTTTCAGTTCAATAGATGCCAACACCCAACTATGGGAAAGGAAACTGACAAAAGACACTCTGCAAAAATAAATAAATAAATGGAAAGGAAAGGAAAATGAACACATCAGAGAACAGAGACCCAACACAATGAACCATATATGGCTGTTCGGGCACCAGGGTTACACAATCATTACTCTCCTTTGAAGAATTATGCAATAGTTGCAAGCCCAGACCCACTTCATAGGTTCATCCTATTGATGATCATCTTCATCATGACCATGTATATGGCATCTTACTGTTATATATAGGCAACAGAGGCAGCATCCTAATCTCAAGGAGCTTTACACTCTAAAACAGTTGGGAAGTGACAGAGGAAGCTGATTTATACCAAATCAGACCTTTCATCTAGACCTTTATTATGTACAATAATGTCCGGGGTTTCAGACAGGAGCTTTTCCAGCCCTGCCAGCCCTTTCCAGCCCTGGACTTTTTGCAACAAACCATCCTAGCTTATCACTGAATTAACA